CATCTTTTATGTATCACATTTATTTTGTATACAAAAATTTCAATAATATTTAATAAAATTTCAATATAAATGATATTATGCATGCATCTGTATGTATACGTATACTGTAAATTCTTCCTAATTGATCCTCAGATCGTTAAAGTTATAGTAAATTCTCCCTAATTGACGTTCAGCTTGGAAACAAAAATGGACAATTTGGGAAGAGGAGATGCGATTATTCGAGCTTCGAGACATATTTTTATAGCTGCCGATCGTCAACAATTATAAATACGAGTTACAAGGCTCGAATAATCGTATCTACTCTTCCCAAATTGTCTATTTTTGTTTCCAAGCCGAAGATAAATTAGGGAGAATTTACTGTACGCGTTTCAATCAATTTGGAAGGCCACCGGATATTTCGTTTTGACCCTTTGATATCGCAATCAGCAGTTCAGGAGTGGTCAGTCGTGTTTCTTAAAAGTCCAATCCAGAACTCTTTGGTCTTCAAAATGTCAATTTTCACGTAGTTCTGAAGAAATTTGTAATGCCGCGCCATTGTCGCTGAGTTTTCTGATAAATAATTCCCCTTATTAGTTGTTTTTTCTTCAGCATATCAAATTGATTTTCATGATTTTTTTCTGTTAAACAGGTAAATCGAAAATCCTATATTTTGCAGCCCAAATAACTCGTGAACTTAAATTTTTCCTCACAGCTACGAATGTAATGGTCTCGCAAAACTGGAAATCATTGGCTTGAAAAAAGTTTCTAAAGGAACATCCGTGTTCAAAAAAATTTCGCACAAATCGCTGTACTCGACCTGCGATTTCCATATTTTTTGATTGAACTTTTCCATGGTGCCTTAAAGTAGCGAAAAATGCTAATGTGACTGATGTGACTCCTTTCCCGGAAGTAACCGATCCGCCACAGTTTGTATATGTATACATACAGTAGCTCACAAAAGCGTTCGTACACCTTTTAAAACGCAATATCTTTTTCAAAACTCAACTAAACGACTTGAATTTTTTTTTAGATGATAGAGGGACTAGTTTACTAGACAATGACTAAAAAGTTTTTTTTTTTAAATTTTACTATTACTTGGAATGAAAAGAAAAAGTTAAAAATCCTCGTTTTTTAACTTTTTTATCTGAGCCTATAACGAAAATTTAAAAAAATGCCTTTTGTAGATATGCGTACTGAAAATTTGATCGAAATCAGTTAACCCAGAGTTGAGCTACAGGCGTTGAAATATTGCAAAAACTGCAGATTTCTTACAGTTTTTGGACAAAATCATGATAAAACTGCGATTTTTGCGATTTTTAATTTGTTGTAACTCGGAACAACGTGAACCGATTTCGATAAAATTTTTAACATGCATATAAGTTAATGAGATCTACGAAAGATATTTTTTAAATTTTTGTTATATGCTCAGATAAAAAAGTTAAAAAACGAAGGTTTTATATATATATCGTTTATCTACACACATTCTGTGTAAACTCTTATATTTATAAGAATTTATGAGATTATGACTATTATACACATATAATACTCTTATATTTATAAGGTTTTATAACAAAAGAGTTTACGCAGAGTGTGTGTAAATAAATGAAATATGGGAAGATAACTCCAGTAATATAAAATTGGACACCGTCGCACTAATCGATCATTTGTCTGTAGGTCGAACAACAATCCGGTGTATCTTCTTCAAAGGTAATTATACAAATAGAAAAGGTGACACATCTTCGATTTTGAACTTGAAATGTGTTAACAAGATCATTATTCTCGAAACCTACGAAATCATACTAAAAATGAGAAAAGACTTGATTCACTGAATTTTGTAGCTAATCTGAGAAGAGTAGAATTATCTACATTTATAAATATCATCCTTATTTTTTAGCTTCTGTCGATGAAACTTTTATGCCATACTAATACGTGAGACGCTGAAGTCGGAAATCTTTGACTAACCGGTTGTTACACGACTAATTGTAACCCTAATTATATCGTGGTTGGTGTTGTTTTAATCGGAAAACCGTGACGATTGCAATCGTGATAGTTTTACAAAAAAGAATAAGAAAGCGCCGTCAAATGGGAGAAGATACCAAAAATAAAACCGCCCCACGGTGAGGACAGTGAATTCATTGTTTTCTAATGCGATGGACATATAAAAAGCACTAAACGTTTGATAAACATCGGTAGGAAAAAATTTATCTTTTAGCTATTTAGCTCGGTTCCAGTTTTGGACCATCTGAGAAGGGAGACGAGTAATGGTCCCATTCTGACGCTGTCGATACAGGTATAGGCAGGATTCATTGCAGCGGTAGTAAAAGTTTCTCGCGAGTGGCTGTAACATGCAAAAGAAAGGTTAATCAGAATCGTGTCCCTGATGATGTAGTCCAAATTCATCAAAATCGGCGGGGTATGGCCTTTTCTAGATACAGTAAATTCTCCTCAATTGTCCTTCAACTTGTACACATAAATGGACAATATCGGAAGAGGAGATACGATTATTCGAGCCTCGCGGGCACGTTTTTGTATAGAGTGCCCAAAGTTAGCCAGCAAAAACAGTGACCAATTGATCTCGTCTTTCATTGGTCACTGTTCTTCGTTAATAACTCGTAAACTAAGCCGTGGATTGCATTTTCGCTAAGGAAAAAGTTACTTCAAATGATCTCAGAAACCCCTCATTCCTCGCTTGTATAATAATTTTGTGCAACCTGTAGTTGCCGATTGTCAACAATTATAAAAACGAGGTGCAAGACTCGAATAATCGTATCCCCTCTTCCCAAATTGTCCATTCCTGTTTACAAGCTGAAGGACAATTGGGGAGAATTTACTGTACTTACTAATTAGCCTTTATTCATCGTCAGTACAACGAAAACTTGGATCAAAACTTGTCGATTATACGGTATAAAATTCAATCGAAAAATGCAACTCATTACGTTTTTTACACAACAAGGAACTACAGTTCAGCGCCCGAACTAACCGCAATCTGTAAAACACTCGCAAAGAAGCATTGAATTCGACTTAGTATCCGTTACACTAGTTATGTGTTATACTTTATTGTTACATTCGGTTTCATTATTGTATTGAATATATTAAAACCGGTAATCTCAAAATTCATAAGCAATTCAAAATTAATACTCCTATCGCCGTAATAAGTAATAGGGTCTCACTACTATGTGCTGACGTAACTAATCGTCTTTCCCACTAAAGTCTGTTACACGCGATCCTTCATATTGAACATATGAAATTTTTGTTTAATTTTCCTTTTTCTGAAAACGAGCTTTTAGCGACTCGAGCAATGGAATCTAAAACTGTTTGTGAGATTTGTGGTAAGGTTACGACTCTTAGGTGCTATGCATGCAAAAGTGTTTACTACTGTTGCAAAGACCATCAGAAGAAGGATTGGAGGAAAAACGCTAAGATCTGCAGGCCGTACAAGGTGAGACATGATTAAAAGTTGGATTTCAGAGTACTGATCCTAGATTTAACCAGCATTAAAATTATAAGGCTCGATTGTTAATTTCTTTTTCCAAGTATTGACTTGATTGCGTATCTGATGCTTCTGATTCTTCTTGGTGATGCTGTACTTATTGTATCTCTTTATGAAAATCTGTATTTTTTGAAAGAATTACTTCATCACACGCTGTATGAGTTGGAGATTCTTTTTCGGTTATTCTATCGAGAAAAGTTACATCTCTCTCTCTCTCGACTGGTTTTCACTCGATTTGTCTTTAAATCTAAAAGCCTATA